ATTATGAAGAATGAGGAAATTCACATTCAAGACTAGACTCCAAAAGAAAGACATCAAGATCATAACCAAATTCTCCAAATCAGAGAATAGAATACTAAAAACAATATGATAAAACAAAGTCACCTCAAAAGAGAAACAATTAGATTAAATTCCGATTTCTCAGCAGAAACCATGTTAGCAAGAAGAAAACGAGATGTCATCTACAAAAACTGAAAAAAAAACCAATTGTCAGCCAAACATCTTGTATCCATCAAAACTCTTCATCAAATATAAAGGAGAAATTAAGTCATTTTCAGGAAATTAGAATTTAAATTTTAAGGTAATTCTTTCTATGGAGTTTGTCTTTAAGTATAACTTTTACTAGCCATTATTTGACTTTGCTAAGTAGATGAGCAGTAATATGGGAATGGGGTATGTTAGCCTATCCAAAGGGGATTGATTATATTTCACTCCACAAGGGGATTGGCCAGTCTCAATAGTCTACAAGGGGATTGGCTAATCTCACCAATAAATTGAACAGCTCTAGCCACAGAGAACAGGCATAGCATCTACTTCCTAAACAACATGTCTTTGGAAACTATGAACTTTGGGAAACAACTACAGTTATAGAAAGGCTTCAGGTCTTTTGTTCATAAGGTTGCTAGGAGTCATGCTCAACTCAATAACAATCAACAACACAACAGCCACAGAGAAAAATCTTCTGGCACCACTGAGGAGAAAGCAAGACAGTAGAGGATGCCCTTCCTGCTCTAGCAACACTTAAAGGTGGGTGGGGATTTGACATGAGAAAGGATCTTATGGGAGAAGGGAAGAGTCAATATTGGCAGGACTGATAAATTTGTTGTTTAACTAGAGGTGAAAATCTAGTATTGGCAGGACTGAAAACTTGGGAACACCAAGCCACAAGCTCAAGGCCAAAGTTCTAAGGAACAACAATGTTAGATTAAGGTGTGCCCAGTTCAAACTATGATCTTTTCAATTGTTTGTTTTGCATCTGAAAGTTAGACAATGACTAATGACAAAAGAAGAAGAATCAATGCCTTTGAATTTTGGTGTTGGAGAAAAGTACTAAACATTGCATGGACTTCCAAAAGGACAAATAACCATGTCTTGGAGAAAATGCAACCAGGATGCTCCTTAGTGGCGATAATGGCAACGTTTCATCTCACATACTTTTGGCATGCTAGTAGGAGTAGGGAACGGGGAGCATCAGTTCTTGGAAAAAGACATTATGCTTTAAAAGTGGAGGGTCAGCAAGTAATAGATGTTGGAAAGGATGTGGTGAGACAGGAACTCATACATTGTTGGTGCAGTTGTGAAATGGTACAACCATTCTGGAAGGCAGTTTGTTGTTTCCTCAGAAAGCTGAATATAGAAATTTCATATCACCCAGATATTCCATTGCTTGGAATATACCCCGAGAAAATGACAACTGAGGCACAGAGACTTGTATACCAATGTTCATAGAAGTGTTATTCACCATTTCAAGAACATGGAAACAGCCCAAATGTCCAACCACAATCAAATGAATTGAGAAATTATGGTATATTCGCATGATGGAATACTACACAGTAACCAGGAGTAATGATTTTATAAATCACTACCTAACATGGGAGGAACTTGTGAGCAGTATGCTAGGTGAATTAACTCAGTGTCTTTAGGACAAATACTGTATAAGACCATTATTGTAGTATATGTATGAGGATCCAAGGGGAGGAAGGTGGGAGCAGAGGAGTGAAGATGAGCAGGGAAGGGTTGGGGAGGTTAATAATAGTATTATATACTGGAACCCTTATTCACTGTTGGTGGGAGTGTAAAATGGTGCAACCACTGTGGAAAGCAATGTGGCGCTTTCTCAAAAAGTTGCAAATAGAGATACCATTTGACCCAGCAATTCCACTACTGGGAATATACCCTAAAGAGACCATAAATGACATCCAAGTAGATATGTGCATACCCATGTTTATCGCAGCTTTGTTTACAATAGCAAGGAGTTGGAAACAACCTAAGTGCCCATCAACAAACGAATGGCTAGAGAAGCTGTGGTATATTCGCACAATGGAATACTATGCTGCATTGAAAAACAAGGAACTTATGTAATATTATTCAAAATGGGTGACCCTGGAGGACATTATGCTGAGTGAGGTATCTCAGTCACAAAGGGACAAATGCTATATGGTGCCACTGTTGTAGAATGAGGCTGACATCGGGGTGGGGGTAAGACTGAGAAAAACTGGATGAATTATGTTTACTGCATTGAAGTCTATGGGGGAGAGAATAGTCTAAAAGTATTATATTTTAGGGCATTATGTTTATCATAAGAGTACGGAATGAGGGTTGCAGAGTGGATTATATTTGGGGTTGGGGTTGGGTTTGGGAGAGGGTGTGCAGGTGGGATTGTGTACCAATGAGGGAGTTTTTCTTTTGCTTTTCAAGGAGAGGAGCAAACGGGGGAGGGGAAGAGGTGGTGTGGGCGGGGAGAAGGGTGCAACAATGAATGAATGGAATTCCAAAATCTCTGTAGATGTTCATTGAAATGAAAATTAAATTAATTAATTAAAAAAATAATTATAAATAATAGGGTCATATAATTTGATGAGTGGAGGGAGGGGTGGGTAAAGGAAATGGGTAAGATCTGGTGTGGAAAAAAAGATGTATATGAACTTTGAAAGTAAACAGTACAAAATAAAAATTTTCTTTAAAAAAGTGGAGGATCAGCAAAAGAGAGAAAGATTCTCAATGATGTGGATTGGCGCAGTGATTGTAGATCTGCCAATATTTCCAAGTTCTCAGTCCTGCCAATATTGTCTCCCCTCACCCTCCAAGTTGTTGAACAAACTTGGACAAATGTTCTTATATTAGCTCTGATTCTGGCCAAGGAGGGTAGCAGTCAGCTCCGTTTCATGTTGCTTCTCTGGTTTGGCCATGACTGCTGCTGCTGTAGGTGTAGCAGCAGCAAGAATTTCTAGACCCAAAGAACATGCTACATTCTCTTCCTCCCTCCCCTTCCCCCTCCCTCTCCCCTTTTTCTCTTCCTCCCCTTTCTCTCCTCTCCTTCCCTCTCCCCTCCCCTGCTTTCTCCTTTTTCTCCTCCTCTTTCTTTTCTAGAGAGGAAGATAATCTCTCTGCTGCGGGATGCACTCAATTTAATGGTGAGTTAATTAATCTCTTTGTGAATAGGCTAACATGCCCTTTTCACATATGTCTGTCCATCCACACTACAAAGTCAAATTCAGTGGCTAGAAAAGCCATCTTTAATAATAAACTCCACAATGAGTATGGTACAAGACAGGACAATTTCAGATTGGTTGTTCATAGGGTCAGTACGAGTCACACTCAACTTGATAGCACCTGACAACAATGGTACAAACCTGAGAAAACATCACTCTCCTTACTGGGTGTCACAGGAAACCCAAGAATAGATCCAGACAGCTGTCTTTGGATACAGCACTGTTCACTTTTCATGTAAGTAAGTTCCCCCGCAAAAAATAAATAAAGAGAAGTCTTTCAGCTTGACTCCTGGTCAGTTTTTCAGTCTTTCTTTGACCATTTATACCGAAGGTATTTCACTCCTGGATTTGAACTCCAACAATTATCACATTGTAATAGAATTATTCTTGACACTTTCTTCCTTAAATCACACAAAAAAAAAGAATATAGTTTCTTTTTTTTCTTCATTCTGTTTCAAAAGGCTGCTGTTATGTCCCTTTGAGTCACCTGAGACTCACAGTGACTTTATGTACAACAGCTCTGAACCCTGCCCTGTCTTGAGCCAGTCTCACTGACTCTGATCTGACTATCCCCATTGCCTCAGTTACTGTGCAAAATCCTAGCCTCCAAGGAGAAACTGAGTTTCGCCCTCTTCAAGACAGACCTATTTGTTTTCTTGGCAATCCATGGTTTGTTCAAAGAATATTCTCTAGCACCACACTTAAAAGGTATCTATTCTTCTTCTATCATTCTTAGTCCACCTCTTTGAAGCATAACAAGAAATTGCAAAGACGGTGACCTGGATCAGACACACCTTAGTCTCTAGACTGACATTGTTACTTTTCAGTACTCTGGAGAGGCAGCAGATTTACCTAATACAATTCATCTTTTGATTTCCTGACTGCGGGTGCCAAGATTTTTTTATTATTTTTTCCAATTTTACTTTTTATTCATTGTTTTTGTAAAAAAATACTAGCTTATTTACAAAATTAAAATGCAATGTTTTTCACACCAGATCCTTCCCATTTTCCTCATCCTCCCACCCATCAAATTATATGACCTCATGATTAATCCCCTCTCCTCCGCACATCCTTACTCATCTGCTTCCAGCCTACCCCACCCCTTGGATGCTCATACTAATTTTAAATTTTTATTTTATTTTTTTTACACAGTAGCATTTCTTCTGGATGGGAGCAAGTTTCAAGGTTGTTCTGGACCATACACTTAAGTGGTAAAAATATAGACAACGCAGTTGAGCTTGATTGTGGGAGGAGGGTCGGGAAGACACTAAACACTGAAGTTGAAGGAGATTAATAGAAAGTTAGAAAAAATAAGGTGAGGAAAGACTATCAAAGAGGACTTTCTGGAATGGGAGGGAGGGCTAGCTCAACAATGATTTTTTTGATGTCTGAGTCACTGGGCGGAAGATTGAGAGGCCTTCATTTGTGACACAATGTGACAGAAGGTAGGGATAGGCTGTGCTGGTGCAGTGACATAACAAAGGCCTGCTTGCTAGAACCAGAGCAGAAACACCAGGAGCTTGGTGGAGGAGATGGAGCTGCAGCTCCTGGTCCCTTTTCCCACCCTCCTTCACCCCAGGAAGTCTGAAATGTCATCTTCCACCTAAATATCTGCTCTCCACTTCCAGGTCAACACGCTTGTCTCTAGCTTTCACTTGATTCCTCATTCTCTACATGTTTTCACCGGGGACCGCCACCTTCCCTTCCTTGAATCCTGAAGGTTTTCTGCTTTGCTCGTCCTGTGGTTGCCAGCCTGCTAATTCCCCTGAGATGGAAACTCCTACTCTCTCTGAAACCTTGAGGCTTGCTCCTGATCTTCCTCAAGAATCTTGGGACCGTAGGATGGTCATTGCCTTATTTGAGATTGGATCCATCTCTCTTTTCTTCTGGAGCTCTCTCCTTTCACTAAAGAACAGCAATCAAATAGCTGAACAACTGACTACACAAAATTTTGAAAATGTCTTAAATAGAATTAAACATGTCCTTCAAAATATGACAGGTTTTGAAAAGACGACAGTTTCAAAAGGATCTTTGGAGGGCACCAGTGTCCCTGAGGATGTGTCAAATCTTAAAGAGAAAATCAGAGGACTTGAAAAAATTAATAAAGCCTTATGTAGAAATGTGCTTTCTAGTTTAGACTCAGAGAAATTCCAGGACGCAAAGAAACAGGAAAAGATATTTGAAAATCACAACTCCAAGGACATGCCACAAATTTTTGCAAGAGATTTGGCAAATCATTCAGAAGGAAAGAGAACATATAATGAAATTGAAATATGTAAAGAGAAACCAAAATATGGGTTACATCAAGAAGAAAATATAAAATTTAGGAACAGCATGGAGAAGTTACTACAAAAAGCAGAGCACTGGAGTGAAGAACATTCTGAACTCAGTGGACTAATAAAATCGTATCAGCAATCTCAGCATGATCTAAGAGAATTTCTGGGAAAGAATGAGGTCCATGTCCAAGACAAGCCAAGGAAAGTGTCAGTTAATGATGAGATGGAGAAACAAGTGAAGAAATTGGAACAAAATACCTACTCATTACAATTGACTGCAGCTTTACTAGAGAATGAGTGCCAGAACTTACAGCAGAGATTAGGGCTTCTTAATGAACTCCAGGAGAAACAGCGAATTCAAACAGGCTATGCACAGCGCAAGAAAGAACAGACACCATCAGAAGCCAAAAAACCAGTAGAGACTTACAGGCAGAAATTGATGGAAATGGCAAGTACACCTCAGAAGGGAGACAGCTGTCATGTAAGACTGGATGTTTTCCGTAATAGGAAAGCTCACAACAACCTGCTCAATTCTTGTATTGCAAGAAGAGGACGTGGGGCAAAAAAGAGATCAGCCAGTAGACCAAATAAGAACACTTTCAAGTGAAGACTTTCAAAAGTTGTATCCATTCAACTCCAAGCATCAAACCATCCATCACTCATTGAACCTCGGCTAGAAGAGTCAGGTTAACCAAGGAAGAGCTATTGAACATGAAGATTGATGCTGTTTATTACTCCATTAGTTATGTGAGTTTGGATAGTAGTAACCATTAATCCTAACTTTAAGTTTATAACTTATCTTTATCGTATCCTTGGATTTTAATAGAACCTATACCTGGTCATATTAAGTAAAAATGTGAATAAAAAAAGATGAATGATAGAAAAAGATTTTTCCCCCCCTTCTATTTATTTGGAGAAAAAGGTTTTGGAAAAAAGAAAGTATACAAAGTCTTTTAAAAGAATATTTTATTGTATTGTAAATGGAATAATAACGTGTTTTTTTATATAGTTTTTCTTAAATGTGTGTACTGTCAAATCAGATCTGAATGGTACAGGAGGAGATTGTGCCTCCTTCTTCAGCAAAGCACCTGGTGGATTCGAACCTCACATCTCTGGGATTGCAGTGCAGCTTCTTGCCACTAGGCCACAAGAGCTCGTCTGGAATAATAGCGTTTATAAACACTTTTTTGCATGTATAACCTAGAGACATAAGTTACCTGGTTAAGCTCTGCACATTTCTTTCATGTTAGGTGAGACCTTGGTAAAGGAGTGACTACAATCTACCATCTCCTCCTCTCTCAACCCCTGATGGCCCTGAGTGAATGTTGGATTCTGTGTACATAGATGTTTTCATTTTCTAAAACTGACACTCTTGGCACCAGTAGCCAGGAAATCAAAAAACATAATGCGATGGGAAAGTCTGCGGTTAGGGACCTCTCTAAAGTATTCAAGAGCAACGATGTCTCTCTGGAGACTAAGGTGCGCCTGATACAGGCCATGGTTTTTGCAATCACTTGTTATACATCAGAGAGTTGGACAATGACTAGTGGAGAAGAGTATTGAATGTACCATGGACTGCCAAGAAAACAAACAGATTCATCCTAGAGAGGGTTAAACCAGGCTACTCCTTGGAGGCAAGGATTCTGGGGCTTCGCCTGACATACTTTGGACATATTGTAAGGAGAGACAGGTCTTTAGAGAGGGACATCATGCTGGGTAGAGTAGAGGGACAGTGCAGGAGGGGAAGACCCTTTATGAGGTGGATTGATTCAGTGACTAGGGTAATCGGGATGGGTGTGTCAGAGGCAATGAGATTGGCACAGGATAGAGCGCAGTTTAGGGCTGTAGTACATAGTCACAGACGACTCGACGGCACATAACAACAACAACACTATTTTTTCTTCTTGGTTGGCTTCTTAATTCAGGAATAGTTTCATGACTTAATTTGTAGCTAGTTTTTGTTAACTCAGAAGTGCCTCATCTCTGGGTTCCACTTCAACTAGCAGCTCTGTGGAATTTTCCTCTCGCTCAGTATTTACAGTCTCAGAAACATAACAGAAAGTCACAATGAATTGTAACTTATTCAATGGCAGAGATTTTTTTTTTTGTTTCTTTCACTCAATATAGTGTCTTCTGGATTCATCCATGTTCCAAGATGCTTTGGGAACTCAGCTTTCTTCATGGCTTCATAATATGTATTCCATTTATACCACATTTTTTTTACCCACTTCTCCATTGCACTAAATGGTTTTCAGTACTTTGTAGTTATCTTCCATTTTGTGCTCTGATGTGATTATATCTTTGAAAGCCTCACTGTTAATGAAGTTTGATTAAGGACAGGAATATTAGGAATGTTAATGAGGCATTGGAGTATATCTGGAGTCAATATCTTTTGAGATATAGAAGTACTTTAAAAAGGCATCAGAGATTAGCAGGAATTATTACTACCAAGAAAGAGAAGTTGGAAGTAGCCTAAGTCTTTTGGACCCAGATCCCTGTATTGAGAACTTTTAGATTCAGAGGTAAAGTTGATGCCAAGACACAGAAATCTGGAGTCTACAAATGCTGAAAGGAGACAGCATCCCTTGTCCTAAACTATAGGTCAATAGAGGAAGAAAGTCTTCCCCTTGACCTAGCACACTCAATTTTAACTTCTAGCTTCCTTTATTATGAACAAACAAAATTATTTGTTAAAGTCATCTTCTAGTGGTTATTGTTGATAAGTGCCATCAAGTTAAGTATGTCTCATAGCAACCCTATGAACAACAGATCTGAACCCTGTCCTATCTTGTGCCAGCCTCACAAACTCTGACACACTTGCACTCACTGCTGCAGTCACTGTGTCAATTCACCTGGACGAGAGTCTTCTTCTTTTTCACCACCCCCTTGCCTTTCCAAGTATGATGTCCTTCTCCAAGGAATAGCCTCTTCTAGTAACATGCCCAAAGGGACAAAGCTGGGTCATTCTTCCCTCCAAGGAGCATTCTGACTACACCTTCTCCAAGACATGGTGTCCATATTGTAGCAGGACTAGACCACTAAGACAAGCACTTAAGTTTTTTCCATCTTTTGACTATAATGGCTGTAATAAGTAGTATGTCGATTGTTATAAAGTTTTATATGCCCCCCAAAGCCCACTTTCTACTAAATGTATTTTTTTAGCAAACTCCTGTATTTTAATGTTTCTGCAAGATGCTCCATCATAAAATTGAACTATTCCAGAATGAAGGCCGCACAGTGGACTGGAGGGATTGTATAACAATGAAAGAATTTTTCCTTTACTTTTCAAAGAGAAGAGCGCACGGGGCACAGGGGGAGTGGTGGGCAGGGAGAAAAGTGCAACAATGAATAAATGGAAATTTAAAGTCTCTGTAAATTTTTATTAACATTAATAATAGTAATTAAAAAAAAGAAATTGAACTGCAAAAATTATTTTTAAAATGGAATATATAGAAGACAAAATGAATTTTAGCAAACTTTAGTAAATTCTTATTATAAATTACCCAAATTTTATAAACAAATCCCCCCAAACTTGAATTTTCTTTAAAGTAGTAACTATAATCATACAAATATATTTCAAAAATGAAAAGTGCATTATTACAATAATACCTCTTTGCAAGTCCAAAATTCTTGGTTTATAATAAAATTATAAAGGTAAAAGACTAAAATCATCAGTGCCATCTATTTCAGAAGTCCAAAATCTTCTTAAAAGGTTGCTCAGCAAGATAGAGAAATATGTTTGGAAGCAACATATAATTGAAAAACAACCACTTGTTTTCTTATCATTTCACATTTTTTTTTTCGTATTTTCTGTGTTTCAATAGAAATCTGCATCTTCTAGAATGCTGGTTTTGAGTGAGTCATTCTGTGCGGTTGCCACTTACATGTTTCCAAACTCCTCTCCTTCTTCACACATTCTCCTCAAGTGGCCTGTTGTACCAGAATGAACAGATAATGATCTATCTGTAGTCGTGACATCATCTGTATTGTTAATTTTGCTAATAAATGCCTCATATTCCTGAAGTTGATGGACAAATCCAGCAGTAGGATTAATACAAAATCTTCTTTCGTGAACATAAGCAAATGCACCTCTGTACTTCATTCCAAATGTTTCCATAATGTATGTAATAACAAAGGCAGCACTCCCAGAGATTGCTGCATTTCCATGGACAAGAACTGTTCCTCCACTTTGTAAGCTCCCATCATTAAACTCTTTAGTCATTGGGAAAAGCCGTATTATATAATCTTTATCTGCAAGATCCAAGACAAAGTATCTAAATGTTCAAAGTTTGGTTTAATAAACTTTGCTTCGATATTTTGTCTGATGCATATTACATGGGTTATTTCATATTTCTGTAGTATAGATAGCTTGCTTTTCATAGCAGAAGAATACGGGCCTAAAACCAATCAGGGTAAAATTTCCTGCATTTCTTGTCTCATAAGATAGGTCCACTCCTCGGCATCTTCTTTGCACTGTAGAAGGGAAAGGAACTCCAGCTTCATGTCCCCCATGGTCCCTGCTAGCAGGTTTGTGGGTGGGGTGGGAGGAGGAGTTTCCCAGTAGACCCAGTGCTGGTGCGTGGGCTGCACGTTTACAACTAACACAGATAAAAGGCTCCCGGAGGCCTCAGCAGCCGTGAAGAGGAGGGTAGGGCGGCCCACAGCGAACCACCGTGCCTCTGCTTTCTCCCTCCCCCAGTGTCTCCCTAAATGTATTTCTTTTTCTTACTATCCGCTGCCGTGTAAGAAGAAGTGTTGCTTTTTAAAAAGGGCTGACAAAGCACTGCCACACAAGGTTTTCCTCTTCCCCCAAAGTTCACACCCTCCACTTTTCCCTAATGTTCTGCTCTTGCTTCCTAATTAGTGACTTGGTGGTGGTTTGGGCAGCAGAGATCCCTGAAGAAGGACATTCAGCTTGTTTAGGAGAATAGATGTGTGTCTAAATATTGGTCTTTGTTAGAAAAGACTCATTCCCCCCATTTCTCTTGGTAGTAACAACAGAGTTGTTAGGTTGTTAGGTGCCATCGACTCATAGCTGAGCATTCGGTGGGTTTTAGAGACTGTACATCAAAAGGCAGGAGACTTCATCTTTTTCTTGTGGAGCAGATGGTGGGTTCGAACTGCCTGCCTTTGTGTTGGCAGTACAACTTCAGGGGGAAAATGCAGTATGTTACAGTATCTGATTTTGATGCCCAGAAAAAGCTGAAGCAGATGCCTTTCTCCCTATCTCTCCTGCTAAGAAAGCTAAATTATTATATATAAAACACAGAAGAGTCTACATAGTAGAAGGAATAAAGTTGACTGGCTAGGAAGCTGAGGAACTACTAGGAGCAATGTAGCATCTGAGTTCTAGAAGTTTTCTTTTTGCTTCTGATATATTTCAGATTGGTTGCTGGAGAAAGCCACAATTCACAGATGACAAAGCACGTGCGCGTGCGCGCACACACACACACACACACACACACACACACACACACACAAATGTGTGTCCACCCCCATAATGCTGAACTCATTCAGCATTTCTTAAGCTCAAGGAACTGAAGAACAAATTCAAACCTTGAATTGCTATCATCAAGGGTCCTTTAGGCAGAATATTAAATGATCCAG